ACACACACTTTGTCACACACACTCTCTGTCACACACTTAAATAGACATTTGGAGCTCAAGTCTAAGCCACTCGAGTAATGATGCCTCATGACGTCGAGGGAATTTAAATGGTATGACGTGGAGAGCGTTTGATATCTGAAGGAAGTGTTTTGTTTAGGCGTATAAGCGGATTTGACATTAATCAGCAACGTGAGGGTGAGACGTTAGAGTTGTAAGAGAGTGAGAGGCGTGAGTGAGAGAGTGTAGTGTGCGTGGTGTGTGTGTGAGTGTATGTGTGTGTGTGAGAGTGTATGTGTGAGAGTGTATGTGTGAGAGTGTGAGTGTATGTGTGAGAGAGTGGTGTGTGAGAGTGTATGTGTGTGTGTGAGAGTGTATGTGTGTGTGTGAGAGTGTATGTGAGAGTGAGTGTATGTGTGCGGGTGTGAATGTATGTGTGAGAGAGTGTGGTGTGTGTGGTGTGTGTGAGTGTATGTGTGAGAGTGTGAGTGTATGTGTGAGAGTGTGAGTGTATGTTTGAGAGTGTGAGTGTATGTGTGAGGGTGTGAGTGTATGTGTGAGAGTGTATGTGTGTGTGTGAGAGTGTATGTGTGAGGGTGTGAGTGTATGTGTGAGAGTGTATGTGTGAGAGTGAGAGTGTGTGTGTTACATATTTCAGTCGTGGTTTAGTAGTAGATGCGGTTTCAGGAAAGGGCGGTCCTGCACAGATGCCATATTTTCTGTCTGTCTGCTACAGCATAGGTGTAGGGAATTCCAACAAGACCTACATCTCTGCTTTATTGATCTGGTCAAGGCCTATGACACCATCAGTAGGCCTGGGCTCTGGGTTGTTATTAGTGCTTTTGGAGTCCCAGACCCTCTGCTCACGATCATTAAGGACCTTCATGATGGTGAGCGGGCCCGGGTAAAACTACGTGGCCGGGAGTCAGAGCCATCCCCTGTACACCTTGGGGTGCGACAGGGATGTCCTCTGGCTCCCACATTATTTAACATCTATTTTGACCACGAAGTTCGTGAAGCCTTCAATAGCTGTACCGGGGGAATCTCCATATGGTACAGATATAATGGGAGGCTGATCGATGCCCCGGTGCGGTCAAGGGATGGCTCCCTATTGCTCAACCACGTTGTGTATGCCGATGATTTGGTAATAGCCGCTCATTCAGAGGAGGAGTTGGAGACGCTGCTGCTGAGACTGGAGCGTGCCACTAAGAGAGGGGGCCTTACCATCAGCCCCACCAAAACTAAGCACCTGCCTGGGTGTTTTGTACCATCGGACACTCCACCCCCACAACTCCCAATCGGTGATGGGGCAGTTGTGGAGAGAGTGGAGAGTTTCCCATACCTGGGCAGTGTGCTTATGACTGGCTCCAGTTTAACAGCAGAGGTCTCACTCCGAATCAGTCGAGCGGCAATATCTTTTCATCGGTTGCGTAACGCTGTGTGGAAGCTACCTGGTCTGTCGCTCCGCACTAAGCTTCAGGTCTTCTCGGCCACGGTCATTCCCTCCCTTCTCTACGCTTGCGAAACGTGGACCCCCCTAATGGAACATCTTCGCCGGTTGGAAACATTTAGGCTGGCCTGCCTACGATCCATCCTGGGTTTAACCAGACTGGATTGTGTGAGGAGCTCACAAATCCTTGAAAGATCTGGGCAGGGTCCCATCGGTGAGCTCCTCCGGCAGGCAAGGTTGCGATGGCTGGGTCATGTAGCCCGCATGCCCAGCCACCGCATGCCGAAACAGCTTTTGTTTGGCCGGATTGAGGGGGCTAAGCGGGCGCGGCACGGGCTAGAGAAGAGATGGAGTGATGTGGTACAGGAGGACGTGGAGCTGAGTGGACTTGCCGATGACTGGTACCAGTGGTGTCAAGATCGGCCTCTGTGGAGGAGGCTCGTGAAGGACGCTACTGGGCAGTTGGAGGCAGTCGCCCTCCAACAACAACGGAGGGCGGAGGAGCGACGCTCAGAACAACGAGCGGAACGCCGGGTGGCTAAAGCACAGCAGGTTGGCACAGTAGGGGGCACAAGTGGTGCATCAGCCAGTCATCTTAGTCAGTCGACCCGTGGCACCTGGGTCTGCCCCGTGACCTCCTGCCAGCGGGCGTTCGACACTTCACGTGGCCTCAATGTGCACATGGCCTGGCACAAGCGTCGTGGTGACGTCACCGCCACTTAGTGGCGAATGGCGGTTGTTGTTGTTGTGTGTGTATGTGTGAGTATGTGTGAGTGTATGTGTGAGAGTGTGTATGTGTGAGAGAGACCTGCAGGGGCATTTGGGACTTCTGCTGTCCAGCAGATACACAAGCAGGCCAGATAATATACAATAAAAAGTATCTATACGTATGTACACAAAACACTTACACACTCATACACACACACTCAGACAGATCCCCCATAAATCCTGAACAGACTGCAGGGGCAAGTGCTGTTAACAAACACCTAGCAAGGCTGGAACGGCACACGAGGGGGTGGGTGGCCGGCACCACGCCCGGCCGCCTTTGTCTCCCTCGCGGAGATTTTTTTACGCACCGTACCAGGTACTCGTTTGAGGCTGAGTCGACCTGGGGGAGGTTCAGATAATCGTCACTGATGTTGGCCGTGAGCGGGAATCGAACTCCGGTTGCCAGCGGTAGCATAGCTGACCGCTAACCGCTATACTAGCGCCCCCATCCTTGGACTCACAACTCACCTCGCTCACACCACCACCACCACTCTGCTACCACCACCACCACCAAATCCCCCATCCCCCACACACTCCGCCGGTGTCAGACCACAAGATAAACTCTCATCCTGATTATCACACACAGCGGGGGCGCGGACAGAGAGAGACACACACAGTCACACACAGAGACACACAGAGAGAGAGACACACAGAGAGAGACACACAGAGAGAGACACACAGAGAAAGAGACACACACAGACACACATAGAGACACACACAGAGAGAGACACACAGAGAGAGACACACAGAGACACACATAGAGACACACAGAGAGAGAGACACGCACACAGAGACACAGAGAAAGACACACACAGAGAAAGACACACACAGAGAGAGACACACACAGAGACACACACAGAGAGACACACACAGAGAGAGAGAGACACACGCAGAGACACACACAGAGACACACATAGAAACACACACAGAGAGACACACAGAGAAAGACACACACAGAGAAAGACACAGAGAGAGACACACAGAAACACAGAGAGAGACACAGAGATAGACACACGCAGAGAGAGACACACACACAGAGACACACACACAGAGACACACAGAGAGACACACACAGAGAAACACACACACAGAGACACACAGAGAGACACACACAGAGAGAGAAACACACAGAGACACAGAGAGACACACATAGAGACAAAGACGGACAGAGAGACTGAGAGAGAGAGAGACAGAGACACTTTTAGACAGAGACACTGAGACAGACAGAGAGAGATACAAATACGGCAACAGGGGGATGCGCACAGACAAAGGCGAGATTCACAGACACACAGACACACAGACACACACTGACACACACTGACACACACAGACACACTGACACACACAGACACACTGACACACACAGACACACTGAGACACACTGACACACACTGACACACACAGACACACACTGACACACACAGGCACACAGACACACTGACACACACTGACACACAGACACACATTGACACACACTGACACACACAGACACACACTGACACACAGACACACACTGACACACAGACACACAGGCACACACAGACACACTGACACACACTGACACACACACACTGACACACACAGACACACTGACACACACAGACACACAGACACACACAGACACACGCTGACACACTGACACACCGACACACTGACACACAGACACACATTGACACACACTGACACACACAGACACACACTGACACACAGACACACACTGACACACAGACACACAGGCACACACAGACACACTGACACACACTGACACACACACACACTGACACACACAGACACACTGACACACACAGACACACAGACACACACTGACACACTGACACACAGACACACACTGACACACAGACACACAGACACACACTGGCACACAGACACACACTGACACACAGACACACTGACACACACTGACACACGCACAGAGACACAATACAGAGACATGCACACAGACAGTGAAAACACGCAGATAACACAAAAGTAAAGCATTCGACTTACAAGCCACACGCAGACACACAAGGACACACACTGACACACACACAATCACACAGAGACGCAAGGACACACACACACACTCACAACACGGTACACGGACACATCGAGACGCACAGAGGCATACACCCACACTGACGCATAACACACACACACTCAAAACACGACACGCACACTGACACACAACACAGGCACACACAAGGACACACACACACATACGTGGTAGGGAGGTTCGCATACATTCATTTCAGACGCGCACGTGGTGGGGAGCACTTGCCCCAGCAGTCTGCTAAGGCTATACGGGAGAGGAGGGTGGTGGTGGTGGGAGGAATATTTGTCTTTGTATCTTCACACACACACAGAGATAGAGGAACACGACTCACAGAGAACACACACACAGAGAGACCACGACTCACAGAGAACACACACAGAGAGAGAGAGAGAGGAGTACGTCTCACAGAGAACACACACACAGAGAGAGAACCACGACTCACAGAGAACACACACACACACAGAGAGAGAGGAGTACGTCTCACAGAGAACACACACACAGAGAGGAACACGACTCACATAAAACACACACACACACAGAGAGAGGAGTACGTCTCACAGAGAACACACACACAGAGAGAGAGGAGTACGTCTCACAGAGAACACACACACACACAGAGACCACGACTCACAGAGAACACACACACAGAGAGAGTGAGACCACGACTCACAGAGAACACACACACAGAGACCACGACTCACAGAGAACACACACACAGACACACAGAGACCACGACTCACAGAGAACACACACACACACGAACACACACACACACGAACACACACACTCACACACTCACACACACACACGAACGTGCTTAGGGATTGGCTCTAACCCAATACAGTACAGGTGATCTCACCCTCCCGCCTCTGCTGAGAGGGATAGGTGGCACGGGGGGGGGGGCTATAAGAGAGACAAAGACGGAAGGGGACTTTGATTGACAGGAGACAGAGGACGAGTCGCAAGTGGATGTCCCACCGCCTGTGTGAGTCCCGACTCCGTAGCTGCTGGAGTCACGCTACCCACCCGCCCCCCAAATAGTTCAGCTGCTGAGAGGGCATTGAGAGGGCAAGGACGGCACCATGGACGGGGAATTAAGCAACGGCTCCGAGGGACGACTGCAGGTATGTACACGGGTGTGTGTGTGTGTGTAGATGTGTGTGTGTGTAGATGTGTGTGTGTGTAGATATGTGTGTGTGTAGATGTGTGTGTGTAGATGTGTGTGTGTAGATGTGTGTGTAGGTGTGTGTGTGTAGATGTGTGTGTGTAGATGTGTGTGTAGATGTGTGTGTGTGTAGATGTGTGTGTGTAGATGTGTGTGTGTAGATGTGTGTGTGCGTAGATGTGTGTGTGTGTAAATGTGTGTGTGTGTAGATGTGTGTGTGTGTAGATGTGTGTGTGTGTAGATGTGTGTGTGTAGATGTGTGTGTAGATGTGTGTGTGTAGATGTGTGTGTGTAGATGTGTGTGTAGATGTGTGTGTGTAGATGTGTGTGTAGGTGTGTGTGTATATGTGTGTGTGTAGATGTGTGTGTAGATGTGTGTGTGTGTAGATGTGTGTGTGTAGATGTGTGTGTGTAGATGTGTGTGTGCGTAGATGTGTGTGTGTGTGTAAATGTGTGTGTGTGTAGATGTGTGTGTGTGTAGATGTGTGTGTGTGTAGATGTGTGTGTGTAGATGTGTGTGTATGTGTGTGTGTAGATGTGTGTGTGTGTAGATGTGTGTGTGTGTAGATGTGTGTGTGTGTAGATGTGTGTGTGTGTGTATGTGTGTGTGTAGATGTGTGTGTGTGTAGATGTGTGTGTGTGTAGATGTGTGTGTGTGTAGATGTGTGTATGTAAATGTGAGTGTGTGTGTGTAGATGTGTGTGTGTGTAGATGTGTGTGTGTAGATGTGTGTGTGTGTAGATGTGTGTGTGTGTAGATGTGTGTGTGTAGATGTGTGTGTGTGTAGATGTGTGTGTGTGTAGATGTGTGTGTGTGTAGATGTGTGTGTAGATGTCTGTGTGTAGATGTGTGTGTGTGTAGATGTGTGTGTGTAGATGTGTGTGTGTGTAGATGTGTGTGTGTGTAGATGTGTGTGTGTAGATGTGTGTGTGTGTGTAGATGTGTGTGTAGATGTGTGTGTAGATGTGTGTGTGTAGATGTGTGTGTAGATGTGTGTGTGTGTAGATGTGTGTGTGTGTGTAGATGTGTGTGTAGATGTGTGTGTGTGTGTAGATGTGTGTGTGTGTAGATGTGTGTGTGTGTAGATGTGGGTATGTGTAGATGTGTGTGTGTGTAGATGTGTGTGTGTGTAGATGTGTGTGTGTAGATGTGTGTGTAGATGTGTGTGTAGATGTGTGTGTGTGTAGATGTGTGTGTGTGTAGATGTGTGTGTAGATGTGTGTGTGTGTAGATGTGTGTGTGTAGATGTGTGTGTGTAGATGTGTGTGTGTAGATGTGTGTGTGTGTAGATGTGTGTGTAGATGTGTGTGTGTGTAGATGTGTGTGTGTAGATGTGTGTGTGTAGATGTGTGTGTGTAGATGTGTGTGTGTGTAGATGTGTGTGTAGATGTGTGTGTGTGTAGATGTGTGTGTGTAGATGTGTGTGTGTAGATGTGTGTGTGTAGATGTGTGTGTGTGTAGATGTGTGTGTGTGTAGATGTGTGTGTGTGTGTGTAGATGTGTGTGTAGATGTGTGTGTAGATGTGCGTGTGTAGATGTGTGTGTGTGTAGATGTGTGTGTGTGTAGATGTGTGTGTGTAGATGTGTGTGTGTGTGTAGATGTGTGTGTGTGTAGATGTGTGTGTGTAGATGTGTGTGTGTGTAGATGTGTGTGTGTGTAGATGTGTGTGTGTGTAGATGTGTGTGTGTGTGTAGATGTGTGTGTGTAGATGTGAGTGTGTGTAAATGTGAGTGTGTGTGTGTAGATGTGTGTGTGTGTAGATGTGTGTGTGTAGATGTGTGTGTGTAGATGTGTGTGTGTAGATGTGTGTGTGCGTAGATGTGTGTGTGTGTGTAAATGTGTGTGTGTGTAGATGTGTGTGTGTGTAGATGTGTGTGTGTGTAGATGTGTGTGTGTAGATGTGTGTGTATGTGTGTGTGTAGATGTGTGTGTGTGTAGATGTGTGTGTGTGTAGATGTGTGTGTGTGTAGATGTGTGTGTGTGTGTATGTGTGTGTGTAGATGTGTGTGTGTGTAGATGTGTGTGTGTGTAGATGTGTGTGTGTGTAGATGTGTGTATGTAAATGTGAGTGTGTGTGTGTAGATGTGTGTGTGTGTAGATGTGTGTGTGTAGATGTGTGTGTGTGTAGATGTGTGTGTGTGTAGATGTGTGTGTGTAGATGTGTGTGTGTGTAGATGTGTGTGTGTGTAGATGTGTGTGTGTGTAGATGTGTGTGTAGATGTCTGTGTGTAGATGTGTGTGTGTGTAGATGTGTGTGTGTAGATGTGTGTGTGTGTGTAGATGTGTGTGTGTGTAGATGTGTGTGTGTAGATGTGTGTGTGTGTAGATGTGTGTGTAGATGTGTGTGTAGATGTGTGTGTAGATGTGTGTGTGTAGATGTGTGTGTAGATGTGTGTGTGTGTAGATGTGTGTGTGTGTGTAGATGTGTGTGTAGATGTGTGTGTGTGTGTAGATGTGTGTGTGTGTAGATGTGTGTGTGTGTAGATGTGGGTATGTGTAGATGTGTGTGTGTGTAGATGTGTGTGTGTGTAGATGTGTGTGTGTAGATGTGTGTGTAGATGTGTGTGTAGATGTGTGTGTGTGTAGATGTGTGTGTGTGTAGATGTGTGTGTAGATGTGTGTGTGTGTAGATGTGTGTGTGTAGATGTGTGTGTGTAGATGTGTGTGTGTAGATGTGTGTGTGTGTAGATGTGTGTGTAGATGTGTGTGTGTGTAGATGTGTGTGTGTAGATGTGTGTGTGTAGATGTGTGTGTGTAGATGTGTGTGTGTGTAGATGTGTGTGTAGATGTGTGTGTGTGTAGATGTGTGTGTGTAGATGTGTGTGTGTAGATGTGTGTGTGTGTAGATGTGTGTGTGTGTAGATGTGTGTGTGTGTGTGTAGATGTGTGTGTAGATGTGTGTGTAGATGTGCGTGTGTAGATGTGTGTGTGTGTAGATGTGTGTGTGTGTAGATGTGTGTGTGTAGATGTGTGTGTGTGTAGATGTGTGTGTGTGTAGATGTGTGTGTGTAGATGTGTGTGTGTGTAGATGTGTGTGTGTGTAGATGTGTGTGTGTGTAGATGTGTGTGTGTGTGTAGATGTGTGTGTGTAGATGTGAGTGTGTGTAAATGTGAGTGTGTGTGTGTAGATGTGTGTGTGTGTAGATGTGTGTGTGTGTAGATGTGTGTATGTAGATGTGAGTGGGTGTGTAGATGTGAGTGTGTGTAGATGTGTGTGTGTGTAGATGTGTGTGTGTGTAGATGTGTGTGTGTGTAGATGTGTGTGTGTGTAGATGTGTGTGTGTAGATGTGAGTGTGTGTAAATGTGAGTGTGTGTGTAGATGTGTGTGTGTGTAGATGTGTGTGTGTGTAGATGTGTGTATGTAGATGTGAGTGGGTGTGTAGATGTGAGTGTGTGTAGATGTGTGAGTGTGTAGATGTGAGTGGGTGTGTAGATGTGAGTGTGTGTAAATGTGAGTGTGTTTGAACTGGCACGACACGGGCTAGAGAAGAGATGGAGCTTATGCGGTTACGGGAGGACGTGGAGCTGAGCTTACTTGCCGATGACCGGTACCAGCGGTGTCAAGATCGGCCTCTGTGGAGGAGGCTCGTAAAGGACGCCGCTGCTGCTGGGCAGTTGGAGGCAGTCGCCCTCCAGCAACAACGGAGGGCAGGGGAGCGACGCTCACAACAACGAGCGGAGCGCCGGGCGGATAAAATGCAGCACTTTGGCACAGTAGGGGGCACATACTCTTTTGGTTCTTTCGGTGCAGTGTCCCGTGAACTCCTTCTCTAAGCGAGCCTTCGACACTTCACGTGGCCTCAATGTGCACCTAGCCTGGCACAGGCGCTGTTGATGACCTCACAGTCGCTTCGTGGTGAAAGGCGTGCATTGGTATTGGAGTGTGTGTGCAGATGTATGTTGATGTGAGTGTGTGTACAGGTGTGTATAGGTGTTTTAAGGCTGTAAGGGGGAGCTTTGTCTTTGTATATATTAGGTCGACTCAGCCTCAAATGAGTACCTGATGCCGCGTGGAGTAAACATCGCCACTCGGGAGACAAAGGCGGCCGGGCATGGTGGCTGGTCACCCACCCCCTCGTGTGCCGTGCCGGCCTTCAAAGATGCTACTCGCTAACAGCACTTGCCCCCTACAGTCTGTTACGGCTACACGGGGGGATCTTTGTCTTTGTGTGTAGGGGTGCGTGGTGTAGTGGCTAAAGCACGCCAAGCTGCCACAGTGGGGGGGGGGGGGGGGGCACAGGTCGGCGCAGCTGTCTGCCATCTCGGTCAGTCGACCCACGGCACCTTGGCCTGTCCCGTGACCTACGCAGCAGCGAAACCTCCCACGCTTCACGCGACGTGCACCTAGCCTGGCACAAGCGCCGCGGTGACTTTGGCAACCACTCACGTGGCGAACGACGACGGTTGTCGGTCGGTGCTGCTGGTGCGGAGCTGTGCGGGGCAGAGCTCCGGAAAATAGCCCCTCCTGAGCTGAGACATCCTGACATCGTGTGCGGCATCAGCGGGGAGCGGTGGCGCAGCGGTGAGCGCGCCGCGCAACACGAACGCCGGCGACGAACGCCTTTGGAACCGCTCCGGCGCCTCCCCTAGGTCGACTCAGCCTCAACTGAGTGCGGAGAACGCGGCGCGGTGTGCACTGGGCGGGAGTGTGGTGGAGGGTGGACGTCCAAGGCGTGATGTCCAGCCGCCCGCCGCCTCTTCATAAGTGTTGCGCACTTGCCCCAGCAGCCTGTCAAGGCTGCACGGACGGGGGGGAGGGGGAATGGAGTGGTCCTTCACGCCACCCACCCCCCCGCCGCCTTTTATTACGCGTGGCAATGGATTGTTGAATCCGTCTGTGCGGAGCTGTGGAGCGTTCTCCCGGCTTTCCTGGGGTTTCCATAGCCGCGCTTTCACGCCCGGTAGCGAGAAGGACATCCTGAACGTTGGCCTTGGGACTCAACCATGCCAGCAGCCG